ACTTTTAGGTATAAAAAGTTTGAAGTAAATTCTTACTTTTTAATAAAAAATGAAAAAAAATCGTATAGGGGAGAGAAAACGTGAATATCGCTAAACTACTTGTAAATTAAAATATGTAACAAGTAATATTTTTTTTTAATTTTTTACACTTAATAAAACTGTCATATTATGAAAATTCGATGTATAATTTTAGACCACTTTTTTCCAGTTTTTAATATAAGAGAAAAACTGTTTTTTAAAAAAAGAAAATTTTCATTGTTTTTTTGACTTCAACTCGCGACAGCTTAAACAATTTTACGAATTTCTTAATGAAACAAAAACGAAAATACGTGTAATTATATTCTACGAGTGACTAAAAAAAGAAAAAAGTTGTTTTGATTAAAAATAAAAAAGTTATTAATTTTTTAATGAGACATTGCAAAATTCATGAACTGCAATTTTCACCCTGTGAGGAATTTTCGTAAATTTTCACCAGCAACAAACTTCCAGTGAGAAAGTTGCTCATTAAGGTCCAAAGAAGTTTTCTGGAAAGTTACAATGCAATTGAACAATTAATATTAATATTTCAAAATCCTGACGTAATACGCAATTTTTAATTGCAACAACAAAAACACATTAGAAAACCACTCTGATACACAGTGTTCCAGGAACACCAATTTTCGGCCAAAAGTCAAAAAAGTTAAAAAATTTGTCTGAAAATCATCACTCGAAGGTTCTCGAGGTCGCTGGTTATGAATCCGGCATCAAATTTTTAAAATTCAAAATGGATCCAATATGACGGACACTATTTTTAAAAAATGATCAGATTCGCATGAAAATCGTCATTTGGGAGTTTTCGGGGTCGCTGATTACGAATCCGTTATTGGTTTTTAAAAATTCAAAATGGCGGATCCAATATGGCAGAAATTATTTTTAAAATTTGATCAGATTTGCTTGAAAATCGACACTCGGGGGTTTTCGAGGTCGCTGTTTACGAATTTGCTGTTGGTTTTAAAAAATTCATAATGTCAAATCCAATATGGCCTGCGAAATATTAAAATTTTAACGGATTTGCTTCAAAATCGTTATTTGGGAGATTTAGGGTCGCTAATTACGAATATGGCATCAGATTTTAAAAATTCAAATTGCCGGATACAATATGGTGGACTAAAAGTTAAAAATCAAACAAATTCGCTTAAAACTTCTTAGTGAAAGATTTCTGGGACTGCTGATTACGAATATAATATAAAAATTTAGATATTCAAGATGGATTTAAATCGGCAGCATAATATTTTCAGGAAATGGAATAATTTTTCTGAATTTTTAGTTTCTTAAATTGCGGACTACCAAAAAAGACAATGAAATATTCTTAAAAAGTGCCAATATTTTCATTACTTTCAGATAATTGTACTAGTCCTACACACACGCTACACCACTACATCAATTTGGCGTAATAAAAACGACTAGCGATATTACGTTATAGAAAAACATTTTATTTAATGGTTGTTTTTAGGGGTTGTGAATCGGGAAAATTTTTAGCAACAAGTTTTTCTTAAAAACCTGACGTGATAGAGCATTTTGAACACCGGATTCGTGTTCAGCGCAAAAATTTCCTTTAACGAATTTTCCACTTAGTCGCATTTATCATACAGAAAAAGTTTTTAAATCTGCAGGCCTATGTCATTTGATGGTGAAATATAATTCATGATCCCTGTGCCGCTTATATGTGTGTTAAAAGTTACAAATTTGAAAATGTGCATACCTATCTTGTAGTACACACTTTAGAGCAGAATTTAACACCTTATATTTTTAAATAGAGCGCGGAAGTTGGGGATGTTTTATTCGCAAGCGTGTATTTAATATAAAAAAGCTTAATTTTTCGATCTTATCTCGAATTTATTATCAAAAAAAAATTTTATTATGCAGGGTATTCAAAAATTTTCTGTTGTTTATGTTCTAAATAACAAGTAAAAGCAGTAACTTTTATGATTCCGCACATTTTTTCAAAAAAATAATTGCAATTAAAAAAATTATTAACCAATTTCAATCTTTCTTGTTATCTTTTCTTCTTTTTTAAAATTGACTATAGATTTTTAATACAACAATTTTTTTAACAATATTTAAACAATTTTTTTTAATAACAAAATTTTTTCATTAATTCAAACATTTTTATACTTTTTTTAATTGCATATAATTATAAATATTTTAATGTTATATTAGGTTTAAAATTTTTCTAAATTATTTATACATATTCGTTTTTGCACTATGTAAATTTTTTTGTAATGTAAAAAATTAGGTTTTATTATAGTTTAGTAATAATAATAATAGTAATTTGTATTATATACATTAAAAAAGCAGCAAATCATTAGTAAACTATAATAAAACATAATTTTTTAAATTGTAAAAAAGTTATATAGTGGTAAATGAATATGTATAAATAATTTAAAAAATTTTTAAACATAAAATAACATTAAAACATCTACAATTATATGCAATTTAAAAAAAATATAAATATGCTTGAATTAATGAAAATATTTTGTTATTAAAAAAAAATTGTTTAAATATTGTAAAAAAAATTGTATTAAAAATCTATAGTCATTTTTAAAAAAGAAGAAAAGATAACAAGAAATCAAAACAAGAAAGATTGAAATCGTTTAATAATTAACTGACTTACAACAACTTTTGTAAACTTGAATGTAGAATTTTACTTTTGTGGCGGGCGTCTATCCACGCTACTGAGATCTCCCACTCCGACTTCGGGAAAAATAATGAACTCCCTTTGGCCCTCTTTATAAATAAGAAAAAAATTTCCTACATTGTTTACAATTTTTTATCTTTACGTAAATTAAGCTTTCAGAACTGTAAATTTGACTAAAAAATATTAATAATTATAGTGTCAGGAATTGTTTGAAAATAAAAAATTATCTCCCCCCCTTTAAGCTATATCGTTTTTCTTTTTTTTAAAAGTTTTTTTAAAGAAAAAAGAAAGTCAATGGCTTTTATTTCAACTCGATAGAGTAAAAAATGGCCCAGTAGTTGCAATTGTTTGTAACTAAAAATAGCACCCTCTTGCTTCCTCGTGGAGGAAGCTTTGTAATCCTTTCGTTTATTAAATTTTTAAACATGGTGAAAACAAATTTTCCTCTATATAGAAACATGTGTAACGATAGACTATCATAGTATAGTCGCCCAGCGAAAAGAGAAAAAGTAGACAGCGTAAGCAGTAGTGTCACTTTCTTCCCCCACCACTCGCTGTCACCTAGCTGCTAGTGATATACCTTTTGTCTCGCACCTTTTTCGTCAGTCTTCTTCCGACTCGACTAGAGGTGCTTCTCTGACAATTGGAAGCGACTCACTCCTGGCTACCTGGTGCTCAGTAGACGTGCGTCTCTCTAAACACCAGAGCCTCCTTCACTTTCTAGAAAGAGCTGTACTTGTTCCTGTAGGCGTTCCTGCGGAACAGTAACACCCTTCGCCCTCCTTCCTCCTGGTAAACCGGAATTCTTATGGGCGCTCCCGTGGAAGACTGGTAAACTAGGTTACTCACATCCACCAGGACCATCCTTATCGAGTAAAGGCGCTCCTCTTTTGACAAAGATGATGCACTAGGTCGATTCCCCATCTCGAGACGCTTCTTGGGTGGAGGATACACCTAGTGAATATTACTTTGCACTAGCTTCGTGTCGGGCATGAATATTGGAACCGAATCCAATATCTAGCTTCTTCCCGATTACGAATAATAATCGACCTAGCGTGCACGACCCTAGTATCCGTCCGTACCGTAGTCTAGGGGGTAAATTCTAGAAAGTACCCCACGTGAAAGTAATATGCGTCGTCCTGACCAACATAATCGCGAACGTGTTAATATATTTAAATCCAATTTATTCTGGATAGTAACATGTTTTAATGGATTTGGATAAAATTTGACAAATAATCCGATTTTAACTTTCGACCCACCATTTTGTAGGTATACTATATTTTTTATACTATTTTTTTTAATCACAACTTTTTCCTCTGAAATGTAGAGGAAAGCAACGAGCACCAAAAAAACACCTTTCGCCAACTTTGATGTTTATTTTTAACATTTTCCGCAACCGAAAATCGAGAGCAAACTATACGGGCCTTTATACAATCCCCCAAACTACCAAAATCCGTTTAGAACAGTCTGTTTTCATTTAATGGAACTTTTTGTCTTTGTTGACTGGCCTACAAATGTTAAAAAATTAGTGGGGCTAAATGTTAAATGTCATTTTTTCACTTTATTCACATTTCTTATATGTTTCGGTTGCTTTTCGAGTTCAATGTTTAGCAAATTGTATTTTTTACTCGCTCTGAAGAACGATACCTAAGGCCGTGTCCACGTTAAAAACTTTCATGAAAGGTTCGGGTACGTAAAAAATTATGATATTCTTAAATAATCAATGGAATTAAAACACGGACATTCTATTTATTAAATTTATTGTTTTCTACATTTTTTAACTTATTTACTTCTTAACAACTCTCAAAAAATGACAAAAAATATATTTTTCGTGGAAGTATGAAGAACTTTATTATGAAAAGTTGTTGAGGACAAACTACCCTACAAGAAAGATTGATATATTTATGCATTTTAGGGGTTGTGGTTTCAAAAAAAAATATTTCTCGAAAATTTAACATTTAGCCCCAGTCTCTCCTATTTTATAATATTATATTTCTACCATTTTTATAAAATAATGTTTAAAAATTTCTTTAAAATATTTCACATTAAAAAATAATCTTTTACATTTTTAACAATTTTTGCACGAACTTTAACCCATGAACGTTAAAATATGTTAATTATTTTAGGAATTATATTAATTTAAAGAATGCAAATTCAAGCTTTTTTCTGGATATTTTATTAAAAAAAAATTCAGTACAAGAAAAATTTAAAAATCTTAACAGATTTTCTAGTTATTAATAAAAATGTGCGAGTCTGACTCGAAATAAAACTTGACTATTTCACTATTTATTTTAAATTTATATAATTTATTTTATCTTTTCAGGGAATATATGTTACAGAAGTTCATGAAGGTTCTCCAGCTTCAAAAAGTGGATTAAGAATGCACGATAAAATTTTGCAATGCAATGGATACGATTTCACTATGGTCACTCATAAAAAAGCTGTAGGACAAATAAGAAAGCATCCTGTTCTAAATTTATTAGTAGCTCGGAAAGGAGTCACTAGCACTTAAAATGTATTAGAATATAATTTATCTGTTTATTATGTAAGTTATTTATATTTAAGTGATGTTATAATACTTTGAAGGTAATATACGATTTTAAAAGTATATTGTAACTTGTGCTAGAAACATGTGAATTATATGTTAAATATTAAATTTTTTACTTTTAGCGCAATACAATTTTTTAAATAATGTAAATGTAATTCAAGTTTTTTGTACAATTAAAAATTAAACATATTACGTATACATTTTTCTATTTTACATTACACTATAATTTACTATATTATTTTCACTTTAAATTTAAAACAATAAATTTACTTTCACCTTAATGAACATTTATTTTAGTTAAGTCTATCCAAAAAAAAAATTATTTCTTCCAATTGGAGCCCCTTAAGGAAAATGATTTTAAAAACTAACTTATTCTTATAATAAAATAATTGTGTCGGTAATTTTTTACTCCTTTTTGTTATTTATCTTTAATTATACACTTCAGATGTCCAGAAACCCGAAAAACGCAAAAACGAAGTCATAGATGTTCATGTGAATGAAATATTTGCAATTTTGGCACTTTTTATAGGTAATTTTCCATTTATCACATATTGTTATAAGTTTGACATATATATCATGATCAATTAACCCCTTGAGTGTAAGGGTACGTCTCGGTACGTCCATAGACGTACATTTTATAGTGAACTTTCAATGTGAGGTACGTCTATAGACGTACGTGTACAAAATATTGATAAAAGCACAAAAAACAAGTAGATCTACATCACACATACGTTATTTATGGTATTTTCAACTCTGAATCCGAATTTAAAGTCAAATTTTGAAATCGAAAAAACCAAAATCCAATATGGCTGCTCAAAAGTAGACTATTTTGAAGGATACTTTTTTTTACATTAAATCTCAGGCAGCATACATTATCTTATCAAACTAATATCTCACAATTATATCAAAATGTTTTTGAGGTCGCTGATTACGAATATGAAGTCAGATTTTAAAATTTCAAAATAACGTATCCAATATGGCGGACGACAAAAATAAAAATTGTTCGGATTCGCTTGAAACTTCTTACTTAGAAGTTTTCGGGGCCGCTGAATTTGAATCTGATGTTATTTTTTCAAAATTCAAAATGGCGGATTTAATATGGCGTTCGACAAAATTAAAAATTGATCGGATTTGCTTGAAACTTGTTACTCGGGGGTTTTCATGGCCGCTGAATTCGAAGCTGATGTTATTTTTTTAAAATTCAAAATGGCTTATCCAATATGAAGAGCTACTTATACACCATCATTTGTTTTGATTGGACCAGGAAACAGTGTGTCTTTGTCATCTAAGCGCATGTCTTTTGTTCCTATATTTTACATCAATCCACTTTTCCATAAAATAGTTTCATAATCATATACTACACTTTTAAAATTTTTTAAAACTAATATATTTTTAAAATTCATTGAAAGTTATTTGTTTTGATTGGACAGAGAAACAGAATTTAGAAAATATGTCCGCCATATTAGATCCGACATTTGGAATTATAAAAAACTAATTTCAGACTCGTAATCAGCGACCTTAAAAACCCCCGAGTAATTTGTTTCTAGCAATTCCGCCAAATTTAGAAAAATATGTCCGCCATATTGGATCCGCCATTTTGAATTTTGAAATGAGTTTCAAAAATGTTGGTGGTAAAAAAAGTTTGTCAACATTTTGGACCCGCATTTAAGATTTTGCTCCTCACAGCGAAGGGGTTAATGTGAATTCTTATATTTATTCAATACATTATATTATTTTTGTTCCAAAAAATTACGTTTATTTGTTTTGTAACCTGTTAAGTTTGTTTAGCTTGTGATTAGTTGCAAAACCAATTATGTTATATTACGGAAGTTTGCATTTATGATTTCAACTCGCTATTTACATTATTTTCTATGTAAATGAAAGTAAATTTTATAAATGATGTATTTTAAGTGTATAAAATATATCTATTTTTGTAAGAGTGTTTCAAGAGTGTTAAATAATTGCATTTTAATTCTTTCGCGATTTGTTTTAAAAAATTAATTTTAAATTACTCCCATTAACACGTTACAAATTGGGAATAGTATATGCGCATATAATTTTTAAAATTATTTTTTTAACCTTTATAGGACTGACGAGGTGTCCGGGTACCTTTTGCATTTTCAAATTGGTTTTTTTCGTAATTTTTAAAATCGTACCGATTTAAGGGGGCGGATATAGTTAATTCGGTGTAAAAAAGGCACTTTTTTAATAATTTTTTGCGGTGATATAAAGTGTGTTACTTTATTAACTTAATTTCCACATATTAGTACAATATTTGAAGTATATTTTCCTCAATTCTCATTAAAAAATATTGCAAATTGAACGAGTGTCAGTAAATCTCTTCAGGCCCCTCGTAAAAAAATGGATTTGCGGTGTTCAACGTAACTCGCAACAGAATCATTAAAATAAAAAAAAATTTTTTTTGTTAAAGGAGATGTTTTTTGAGGTAACTACGAGAGGTTTTTTTTTATTTTTCGCAGCACTTGAAACCCAAAAAATCGATCTATTTTTTACTGTATAATTAATAATTATTAAAAAAAGCTCTCGTACTTACCTGGGGAATTTAGTCAAGAAGAACTGTGCCAAATTTCAGAACGATTGGTTTAGTAGATTTTGAGAGGACTTCAAAAATGTCATTTTGAGAAAAAACGCAATTTTAAATTTTGACAATTTTTGAAATCTGACTTCAGATTCGTAATCAGCGACCCCAAAACTTAAACATACACATCAACGACATCAGAAAACATATAGAAATGTCCGCAAAAGGTTAAACACAATCTAAATTCAAAATATACGAAAACACAACCCGCGGAGTAACCGACACTTGAATGCTCAAATGCTCATAACTTTGTCAATTTTGCTCCGATCGGCTTGAAAATTTTACCCGATCTTCTTGAAATATTATACCTTCATTTAAAAAAATGCAAAAAAAAATTAAATACCATACCCCCTCCTTAAGGTTTTTTGACATCTCAAATTTATCCATATAAAGTATATTAATATTATTTATAATGTACCTTTTTTATTTATTTATTTGCAAATAATAAACATAGTTTTTACCCTTAAAAGGCGGACAATGTACCAGGGTACCTCTGTACATTTCATGCAGATAAATGTAGATATTTCTATTAAAAAATTATGAAAAATTACATTAAACAATTTTTTAAATTTTTATAGTAATGCACATAATTTTTTTTATAAAATATGTAATTTAGTCACTACAGTTAAATAATAATATTTATAAAAATTCGTCAGTTTTTAACTTCAAAATTAACGTAAAAATGAAGTTTGAGTAGAATTAATTTGTATTAAAAATGAATTTTAAATAATAAAAAATATATTTCTTACATTTTTATATTTGATTTCAGAAATAATCTGCCTAAATATGTACCTGTTTTGCAATCTAGCAAATATTATGTACACGGATACTATTCAATGAAAGATCAATGAAATTCTGAGGTCCGTTAACCTGGCTTGTCCACATTATCCGATTTGGATGAAACCTATTGGAAAATTAAGGGCTAATTTAATGCTAATTCAATACCCTAATGACGAATTTAATGCTCGGCATTTTCTTCGAAAAACTTGTGGACAAGCTAGCTTAACATTAAGGTGGCTTGTCCACACAATGAAGAAGTACTCGTAGGAAGGTCTACTTTTAGGGCTTTTTCAACGCTCTTTAATTGATGCTTTATTGTTAAATTTAATGTCGGCATAATTTCGCGAAATAACTGAAAAAATTCAAATTTAACGCTACCTTAGCAAGTCTAAACAACGAAGGAGTACTCGTAGGAAGATTTAATCGTGTAGAAAAATCTTCTTGAACGTCTAGAGCCAATCCTTGCGCAAGCTAGAAAGCGTCTAGCATAGCTAGTCTGGAAGGTGTGGCCTGCCCATTTCTGTTGCTACTCAGACACTAGTCAGACCCTAAATAGCGTCGCTCGTCTGAAAAGTCTAGCAAAAGAGGTCGGTAATCCTAGAAGTACCACTTCGACAAAAAAAGTTTTTATACATGCCAACATTTAGGGCTCAATTAGGGCTAATTTAGTACCACATGCAAAAATTTAGGGCCCTTTACCTATTTAAAGTAACCCTCTGTACTGCTAGCTTGACGTCAAGCTGGAAGTACCACACTGTAGTATCTAAATATTTTCCAAAAATTCTTCTATAGGAATTTAGGGCTCTCAACTAAGACTATTTAAAATTTTCAAAAACCACCTCTAAGTTCAAAAAAACATCCCCAATTATTAAAACTTGATTTAACCAAACAGAATTGCGCTTATCGTCGTGCTAAAGGCCGACTGGGATGCCTGGGTCCTTAAGGACAATAACTCCCGATCTTAAAATAAGCATATCTACCCCTTAACGAAAGAACTACCGACATGTTGAAACGGCGGCGATTTGGCATGCCGCCTCGCTACCGATGCACCGTGGGGAAAGAGGAGGGAAAAATTGCCGTTGTAAGGTCCTTAAGAACCAAAACGGCGAAGAAGACCGGGTGCCCTTCCAGGAGGAGAAGGTTAGCATTGATTCCCTTCGCCCATGCAAGTAGAACTTGAGCGGAAGAAGGGAATCAAAGTACCCAGCGGGGACCTCGTGGAGGTTCCGTCTCTGAGCTAAGCTCCACCCACCGATGGTCTGGTAGGTCACGCACACTCATACAATAGGGTGCCCAATGAAATGGCGCAACGGTTAGTAACATTCATCTTGGACCCGATAACACCTCAACAGGAGTGGGAGTGAGTTAGCGAGGACAAGAATCCTGCACTTCCAACGGGGACCACGTGGAACATTCGCTACCAAACCGAAGTGTCAGACCGCAGTCTAAAACCAGCTACAGGCATCCTATTCTGGGGCCGGGAGCGCCACGGCGGGATTTAACCAAACAATAATCATATAGGAATTAAGAGCTTAATTAGGGTTCTTCAATAGCACTAAATTGACTTTTTAAAAATGCACCCCCAAGCACCCTAGCAAAGTAACTGATATATAACCAACCACAAAAACTACCCTCAAATAATTCAAACTTAATATTTACAAAAAACAAACACATTTAAAGCTCTTAAAAAGCTCTTAATTAGATGTTTAAAAATGATCCACCAATTTCAAAAACAATCCCTGAGTAGTTCAAACTCAATTTTTTCAACAAAAAAAAAGTACTAAAGAATTTTGGGCTCATTAATAGCACTGAATTGGAT